TAACAGGCCCAACAAATTCTAAGCGAAAAAAAACATTTTAAGTAGGCAACAGTTGGTATGCGTATGTATGCGTTCATTCCACGCCTTGACTCTGCAGGCTTCAGCGGAAGATCTGCCTCCTGAAAAACGTCTTAAAGCCGGAGCGTCCTTGCTCCTAGTAGCGATGCCAAGCGCCCCTAATAGTTTCTTGCTCCTAGTAGCGATGCCCTTTGTTACTAGTAGTTTCTTGCTCCTAGTAGTAAGGCCAGGAACCCGTAGTAGCGTCCTTGCTCCTAGTGTTCCAGTTGCGGGGTGCAATGTGGTGCTTCGCGGTGCTTCGTGGTGCCTCCACAGGATGGCCAAGGCGCCAGCGACCGTAACACCTGGGTTGAAGGCATCGTGTAGAGCCGTCACAACACACACACACACACACTTGTCTGTCAATGAGTCAATCCAAGGGATTCCAAGGGCAATGACAAGACTTGCAAATGGATATGACAAGAAGATTCACATTCCACGTGATCTTGATTCCGTGCTTGTCAATAATATTGAATATATAATGTCCAAGTCGACCACCGATTCCCGTCTTGGGATCAATGTCGATCTCAACCTCACAGCACGGACCCTCCATCCACACAGAGTGTCTCGCACGCACAAACAATGGCGATGGTCAGGGGCCCCAGGCACGAAACCTGATAGCAAGTCCTTTAGATTCTTTTGGTGTCTGTAATATTCTATAACAATGGTTGTTATATGACCTGCCTAAACATCACTTTTGGATACCTGTGGTGTCTGCTGCATCGGCAAGCATCTTGCAATATCGCCTATGGCTATCCAACCTGGTTGGGCTGTAAAGAAAGCTCCTTGGACATCTTTCTCAACTTCAAAAAAGAATCCTTCGACTTCTCCAGCTGTTTCTCGGACGCCAGCCATATCCACTTTCCCTCACAATCATGCCCCCTACCCTAAGTCACCGAAATTAGTAAATTTACATTTTCATTGGATTTACGTAAATTGATGAATTTAGGTGGCAAAAAGTGTAAATGGGTTAGTAAATGTAAATTTGATTTAGGTACAACCTAAATTTATTTCGGTTGGTCTTCACTAAGGGTTTTCCTATTTTTTCATTACGTTTTGATTTGCAAATATTCAAAACTGCATCTAAAACACATCTTTTGAAGAAAGTAATTTGTAAAACATATAGCCACAAGTAGAGACACTTGGATAAAACCACAAGCACACACACTCAGGTATAAGCACGCAGGAAAGACAAGCACAAGAAAAATATCTTGGGTATAAGCACCATGAGCTTTCCATCCTTTGTCCTGTCCAGGACTTGGTTCACTATCTTGCGCTGTTCTTCTGTGCGTCCCTTCTTCATGCTCAAGGTCTTCTTCCAAGCCTGCGCAACATAGTCTGGCAGAGAGCCCTCAGACAACAAGGCCTTGAACTTGTTGTCCTTCGACCTGTCCTTCTTGGCCTCATCGCACTCGAAGAAGTCTGCATTGTCCTGCTCCTCCTCCTCCTCCTCCACATTCTCTTGGTTCATCCTCTTCAACTTCTGGTGCTTCCTCCTCCTGATCCTCCTGCAACCCTGCTGCCCAGCCATGAGCTGCTGGCTTCTTCTTTGGCTGTACGGTTTCTCCACTGGCAGCAGGCCTTTTTAAAGAGCCTGCCTTTGGCTTTGGCTTTGGCTTGCTCTTTCCTTTTGCTTTGGGCTTCTTCCCTTTAGGGCTCTTTGCTTTTGGGCTCTTGGATTTTGGGGTCTTTGCTTTGGAAGCTGGCCTTTGCTTCACAGGTGTACTGGGCTCTTCAACTACACCATCGTCCTTCTCCTCAGGAGTGACTTGGCCCATGGGGATCTCTTCCTCTGCCATGCCAATGCCAACAAGCTACTGCGCCTATCTTTCAAACCTTTCAAAGCTCTTTGAGATCAATCTAGCTGCAAAAGTAAACAACAACCAATAAGCCAACTGTGCAGTAAACTCTCAACAACTTCAATTTGAACAACATACAATGCTGATCAACTCTTTGTGCAAAAGCTTTACATTCTCAGGTAAAGGATAAACCAACTTCAAATTGAACAACATACAATGCTGATCAACTCTTTGTGCAAAAGCATTACATTCTCAGGTAAAGGATAAACCCACAAGAATGCTAGATATCTTTTTGCTGACAATATGATGCAGAATATCATAGCTTTTCATAAAATCTGTCAAAAAATTGTATGAATTTTTGATGCACTTTTGATACACTTCTGATGTACTTTTCAAAAGTGTATACACTTTTAACAAAAGTGTATACACTTTTGATCAAAAGTGTATACACTTTTGAAAAGTACATCAAAAGTACATCAGAAGTGCATCAAAAGTGCATCAAAAGTTCATCAAGAATTCATCAATATTTTCTCTTAAATTTCTAGTTTTTTGAACTAAATTTCATAAATACATATCAAATACACTTCAACTCACAACAAAACTAAACAAGACTAAGCACACAATTCCAAGTTGAATGGCGTCCTCATGTAAAGTATACTTACACAAAGTCTCAACCACTGAAGTAAAATACACTCAAGTAAAACCATCCTCAAGTAATGTCTGCCATGCTCAAGTAAAGTGTGCCATGCTCAAGTAAAGTCTGCCATGCTCAAGTAAAGTGTGCCATGCTCAAGTGAAATCACATCCTCAAGTAAAAGCTCAACAGGTAAAGTCACACCCTCATGTAAAAGCTTCTCAAGTAAAGTCAGATCTTCTTCATGTAACAGCTTCTCAACATCATGTCACAATGCGTGCCCTCAACTCTACCCCAAAGGCTGCTTGTGTCTTTTTCACTCCAAGGATTCCAGAGATGAACTGCTGTCATCTTGCAGCGTCCTCATCAAGTCCATCATGGCATTGATGCGGTCACGCCTCCTGACAATGGTTTCAAGCCAACATTGACATAACTCTTGTTCATTTGCTGCAGTTAATACAAACTTGAACAATTAATTTTCAACAAGCAAACTTGTTTAAAGTTCAGTCCAAGAATCTTGTCAGCTTTGCGCTTTCACTGCTTGTTTCCTTCTTGCTGAGGTGTCTCTTGTTCTTCTTCTTTTTCTTCTTCTCACAGAGCCAAAAGATCTCTCACATAAAACATGCACCCTCACACTGGCAAAAACCATCAGAGAATCAGAGAATGCTCTTCTTCCTAAAGTGAAGAAAAGTACATATCCTCAAGTAAATTTACTCCCTCAAGTAGACACCCTCAAGTAAAAAATGTTTTGTTCAAGTCAAGAAGGGTACACATGCTCAAGTAAATGCAATCCCTTCAAGTAAAGGCAAAGTCCACACCTCCTGGCATGCTCAGTCAACAAAAACAAAAATCCATAGCGCAAATATCCTCAAGTACATGTTGTCCTGTAGAAAACCTGCCTCTTTGGAGAAAGCCAACTCACATAAATAGAGACATTTTCTGCTTCAAAATCATGCTCGCAAAAATTTACTCATAACCTAAGAAATTTACTAATAACCTAAATTGGATTTGCTAATAACCTAAATTGGATTTACTCATAACCTAAATTGGATTTACTATTAAATTTACGTAAATTGTTACGTAAATTTTCCTTAGTAAAACCAAAAATTTACGTAAATTTTATGGTTAGTAAAACTACTAATTTGGGTGACTTAGGGTAGGCACTTCGCCCTTCGCGCTCTTTTTTACTGTCGGCCAGCAGCACAGCGTGGCGCCAGCCCAGCGTCGGCCAGCGCAGCAGCGCAGCAGCCGGCCAGCGCAACACCTCGGCAGCTGTGGAGGCTTGCAGCATTCGTATATGCGCCTGTATCATCGCAGACTCTGTGGGTTCGAGAAGGGGAAGTTAGGAAGCCCATGGAGCGGTGCCTTGCTACATCTTGCTACCTGAAGATGTTGAAGTGGAGAGAATGCCAGACCTGGTCAAAGCTTTGCGCATGATATCGATCAGGAGGGCAACCTACCAGTTGGGCCAGTTGGCCTCCACGTATATATTAGACCGCAACGTTCAATCTGTGCGAAGGCCACCCTGTAAAACAAGCGCCGCAAAGAAAGCTTAGGAAAACATTTCCCCAACCAAAAATGATGTGACAAGCAAATCTCCGTGGACCACGCAAGTTTTTTCACTCAGACGCCCAGAGTTTTTTTCTCTGGCCTCCCTCCACTCCTTCGCCTCAGGCGATTGGAGCCAATCTGCCAGCTTGGCAGCTAGCGCACTACAAGTCTGCCCTCTTCGGGCCTTCCGATCAACAAAAAGTGAAGCGCGGTGCCAAGTATCCTCGCTCAGTGATGGCTCCTTGGCTGGCTGGGCTGGGACTGGGGTTGTTTTTCCAACGATATGGAGATCCCAGTGACGTGGAAGGATCGCAGCGATGAACGCTTCGCCTCAAGGACCAGGCAGTTCGGAGAGCAGCCTACCTGACCTGTGGGCATATATAGGAGGATCTGAGGCTTTTTTACAAGTGCAACCACAGAGGCTTGCTTGCCGGAGGAGAGCCGGTAAGAAGAACTTGCAGGGGCTCCAGAGTTCAGGCGGCGGCGAACTTGACGGCGAGAAATCAGAGGCCGCATACCTCAAGGATAGAAGTTGGAAGTGATGGCTTTTTGCATTGTGGGGTGCAGAGATGTTCTGATGAAATCAACTCGAACTAGACATATTCACATGAAATTGGTGCTCATATATCATCGCTATCTCACCATTTTGCTCAAACATCGCAGGGTGATCTCACACTGTTTTGCCTGTCTATAGGAAATGGAAGTCGAGCTAAGTGCCCTTTTTGCATTCTGGACAAGGTCTGCAGGGACTACGAAAAAGGCACCCCTCTGTCTCTTCGTAGAGATTCTGATGAACTCACATGAAAGCTTTGGGCCCTAATACCGTCGCCATCTGGCTGGGACATCGCAAGGTGATCCCATTGGTTTGCCCATCAATCAAATAGAAGTGCCCTTTTTGCATTCTGGATAGGTTCTGCAGGGGCTATGAAAAGGGCACCCCTCCCTTCGCAGAGAATTTGTCAGAACTGGGCTCTCTCCGCAGTGGCCGGCGCAGTGTCCAGAGACTGCAGAAGGGGCTGCGGCGCGCGTGGTCGCCGCTGGGGGCCCGGCTCTCTCCGCAGTGGCCAGCGCAGTGTCCAGAGACTGCAGAAGGGGCTGCGGCGTGCGTGGTCGTTGTTGGGGGCCTGGCTCTCGTGCCCTCATACATCGTCACTCTCTCGTGGTCCTTTTGCCTTGTGGATAAGGCAATATTTGACAGCGCTCAAAGGGGCAAGGTTGAAAAACAAGCAAACTGATAGCCACAGGGAAGTCAAAACGGCTGAGACGAGGCTCTCTCGAAGGCATCATTGCCCCATCGCTATTGAATATATCGTGGAGCTGCGACCCAGTGCGCTCGCAATAGCTCCTCAGAAACTTGTCAACCGCAAGCCATTCAAAGCCAGTAGCTAAAACACACACACACACACACGCATCAATGAAATGCGCGATTGGCAACAGAGGGCTTGGATGGAACTCACCGCATTTCGACGCACAAGCCCCCATGCTAAAACTACTTTGAAGCGAAAATACACCAAAGCGCCCTTGAAAAAAGGCGCTGTGCAACCTGACGACCCAGCAGAATGTAAAATGACCTGCATGAGAACGATGTTTCACAGGACGAGAGAAAAACGTTGCAGCTAGGAAACTCGGCGCAGGCATGCGCTCTGCACATGTGGTGAACCAAGGCAGCGTGCCAGGCATAGCGCTCTGAAGGCCCTCCAGGACTCCAGAACATGGGGCGTGGATTTCGGGCACCGTGTCGATGCTGGCTGAGACAGAGCTGACATCAAGTCTTGAGGCGTAGATCCACGATAATGAGCCGCGGTCATGCTCCACCCACTTCGCTGCGACCGACAGAGCGCAAGCACTCGGGTCTGACGGCCCAAGGTTTGGCCTGCTCCACCAAACTAAAACTTTCCACCAAATGGCTTACACACAGCACTGTCAGCCTTGCCCACCCCAAACTGCGCAGGTGTGGTCCAAAGCCAGCAAGGAAACAACCGCGCAATCGCACAGGCGCGACCATGTACTCTGATACTTCCCACCATCTCGTTCGGAAGGGAGTGGTCTGGCTGAAGTCTACAACGTTGCGGACCAAGATCACGTATTGATCTCGTGATATCCAGACCTGTCCCACTTACGCTGGACATATAGGAACATGTATGGGTCCGGCCCACTCAGTCCTTGAAAGCACCCTCTCAAATCAAATCTCCGAAGAACGGCGTGGAAAGCTTGCACGTGTCTGGGCGAGGCTGGCGAACTTCAAGAAGCTCTTTCCAATCGAATGCCTTGAGCATGGCAGCCCTCAAATCTGCAGTTTCTGTTGAAATGCCGACAGGTCCAAAGTAATCTTCGTACTCTCTGAGAAGGGCTGCCAACAAAGATGCAATTGCGCGTAGAGCAGCGTCAACACAGGAGAAGATATGGGGGTCGCCAACTCCGACGACGCATCTTGGTGGACCCCCAGGCGTCTGTTTGTACAAATTCACCCCACGCATGCCAGGAGGTCCGGGGCGCAAAACGCGAGAGCCATATCTGGGAGGAACATCAATCACATCAGCTGGGCGAGCGCCTGCATCTTCAAAGTTGCCGGTAGGCCGTGCCACACACCCCGGACTTTGACTTGCTTTCTGCGCCCTCCCTTCCAACGAAGCCTCTTGGCAACAGCTGCAACAGTAGAGGGCGGCTTCCAAATCCATCTCTCGCATCCATCCTAGTGCATGGACGCCGCATAGGCTCGAAAATTGGCGTACAATCGACCTGGGGCGCCAGGCTCGGACACGGTTGGGCGGGTCCCACTCAGCGCAGGAACCGCCAATGCCTTGCAATCGATGTGGGCAGCAGTAGAGCGGAAAACGATGCGACCCTGACCCGTCCCATACAGCTGCGCCATGGGCAGCTGAAACGTCAAAGAGTTCAACGCAGAGTGGAACGGACCTGAAGGCCCTCGTTCGGAAAATGTCCTCCCTGTGAAACATGTCAACATGCCCCATATCAATCATTCGGCTCTCCTGCCCGAAAAGTTTGCCAAACCATGCTACCCGCCCGCGTGGACGAATGGCGGGATTCCGGTCCGCCTTGGGCGTCACCCCCTATGGCCATAAGGCGCCGACTGCACAAATCAGCGCAGAGCCGAGCAGGGTGGCTGGCCAGAGCCCCAACAACTTTGTCAGCCTGAGCCTGCCCACTGTGGGAAAGCCCGGCACTTGGCGCACCGATCAAAATCGACTGCAAATGGCCGGAATGATGCGAAACATGGGAAAGCCCAGTGACTAAGAGCGTCTCGTGCCTCGAAAAGGATGTTGACCCCAAACTGACACAATCAAAGATCACGGAGAACCTGGATGGTATACCAAGGCCACCCAAATCCGCCAGCAAGTCTTCACTGTCCATGAGCTGCTTCGCTTGTCCTGCCAAATACTGAATCAACTGGAAACGCTCGGTGGAGTGATACTTATCACCAAGGTCAGCGCCATGGGCTTCTAGCCTCTGCAGCCTTCACAAGAGTTCTAAGTCGCTGCCACCCTAATAGGCATGAGAGATGACTTCTTCAACCAAGTGGTTCATGATCCGGGTTGGGTTTCGTTGTTGGCTGGTGCTACATTCAACAACAGCCCAGCTTCGGGCACGCAACTTGGCAACCACTGCCCTGATAGTATTCGCAGCAACCCTGCTCAAACGGGCAGCCGCCTCAGCAGCCCATGGTTTTGCCTCGCAAAGCTGCTTCACCAAGCCCACTGGTAACCCACGCAGGCTAAAGTAAAGATTAGCGAGGACCATCTGACTTTGCCCACTGATATTTCCAAGTCCAACGCCAAGGCCAAGGCGGCCAACAGCGTCACCCACGTCAAGCCCAGGTTTCCATTGTTTCTCACACAACTGCGTTGAGAGGCCAGACCTCCAAGTCTTCCAAATCAAAGTAGTGCTCCGACGCATCACTCCGCGTGCACATGGATTGAACGTCCTCCGTGTCCAGGAAAAGACCATCTTCCTCCGAAGGCAACTGAAATGATGCAGCTGGAGGGTTTGGAGGGTCCTGGGAGGCGCTGTCATCCGCCAGATAAAAGCCTGACGATCCGTCCGTGTTCGGGGCGAAGAGCCCGGTAGCGTCAAGAAATTCCTGACTTACTTTAACATTGAAACCTGGCTGGTGGTGAACCTTCAAACTGGTTTGCAACACTGGACGACCTGGACAACACATGGGAAGTCATTCTGACGGCTTGAGGCTCGAGATAAAGATGTTATCAGAAAATAGAATGGAAGGACCTACGGAAAACCATGTGCTTCTTGACTCAATGAACCCACGAACCTCTTTTCAAACACATGAGTCTGGAGGCAAAGCGTGCTGTAAGCAAAGCAAGGTGGAAACCACTACCATGCCGCGGTTAGCAACATGAAACGAATTGCCCACCTGTGACGATGTAATATCAAGGCAAGACAAAGCACAACCTGCTTCGCGGGCCAAATTTGGGAAAACAGGGAAGCCCATGGCCGCTGCGCGCTCTCTATGGATTAGCCAACGGCTTAGCCGCGGGACCCACGATATGCCTTTGTTGCGCTTGAAGCACGGCAGCGGCCCGGGACGAGGCAAGGAGCGTTCTTGCAAAATTATCTACCAAATTAAACACCACACACCTGCTGTCAAATTTCGCAGTGACCCCATGTTTCCTTAGATCTCGCTCAAGATTGAACTCCAGCTTTCCACTTCCAACCAAAGAAGAAATCAACTAAAGGATTGCACTAAGTAGGCCGAAGCTCTGCAGCGTTTGGACTCTGCGGCGGCGCTGCAAGGTATCCTTGCTGCTTCTCGGTCAGAAGGATGGACCAGTGGACCAGTCGGGCGACACAACAGTAACAGTTGGGAGTCATTTCCGCCCTTCGACATGGCCTCGGGGCAGCTCACGGTTTGCCTGGCTTTGGTTGGGAACCATGGACATCTGGGATATGTACGCCTGCCTCCTGCCTGTTGGCTATTACTTCAAGAGTGTATGTCTGCCTGCCTTTGCCTGTTTGCTTTCTCAAGCTCGAAGGCACAAAGCAATTGAATGGCCGACCTTCGGCGACCTGAAAGGCCGCAGGTTTGTTTGGCAAGCGGCAAAACCTTCTTCGCCCCCATGCGCCGCGCGCGATCGTGACACGACCGCAGCCAGCGCGCTGCTTTGCTCAGAGCGGGCCCCTTCTGCGAGGCCTGAGCAGGGTGGTGATCCCTTCACAGCTCAATACATCATTGAGGTTGGCGTTGGCACCGTGCGAGCTTGGGGGACCCGGGCCCTTGCCCCGCTCGATCTTGAAGCACTTGGGAATTTAACTGTAGTTATGTTCTCGGGAATACAAGGTGTTTGGCCACCTGTCTGTAACCTTAGTATAATTCCAACTCTGGAGCCTATATACCAGTTGACAGCCATTGCTACTACGATGCATGGGGTGGACGCTGTCCAGAAACCATCGCCTCCAAAATCAACTGAACTCTCATATTCTTGACTTGACTATAACTCTGTGGGGCTGGCCATCGGACCCGTTAGCGTAATTCCGCCTTCCGACCGAGTTGCGTGCCAAGGGCAGGCCCGTTGGCCTATGCCAGACCTATGCCATTGGGACTTCGTCGCCATGACGAGCTCCTGGGAAGGGCGTCGTCAAATTGACGCGCGCACTGTCAACGACGTGCTCGCAAGCCTGTGAGATGAGCGGTTCTGAAGACTAGGAAATAGGAAGCTGAACGCAACAAAGGTCCTCCAAAGCACTGTCGCTGCAACGGCCCAAGGAGATTGCACCCAGAGGGACACCACGGACCTGCGCACATTCAGGCGTTACACGCAGCTGTCAGCCACATGCGCAGCGGCCAAGTCTTCAATTTTCACCCCTCCGCAATAATTCCGTGATGACAGTTTTAGACTGTTCAAACTACCCAATGAAAAACAACAGCCAGAACGCCCTCATGTGCTCTGCGTCGTTGCACAAAGCACGCAAAGTTATATGGTTGACATTAAGATGTCCGCTGGCTGCTGGCGCTGCACGAGGGTGTACAGCTGGAGTGTCGCACGGTCCAAGAAAGGGGCCGGTGCCCCATGTTTGGTCCTCTGTCAAAATCCGGGCGATGTTCGGTTGAAGCATATACGGGCATACGACGAAATCCTTCCCCTGTTAATGAACATACATACATACATACATACATACATGCATATGGCATAAAGTATATCTGTATAATATACGCCTCAGGATTTCAAAGCTCCAACCAGGAGGTTCACACTGCCTGACGAGCATCAGAGCGTGCTCCTGAAACTCGCCACCAGCCTGGAGCGCGTTGCGGCGCTCCACCAGCTCAGGCCGCTTCAGCGCGCGATCCTCCGGGAACAGCCGCTGAAGCACGGTCACAAAAGCCTTGGCTCCCAAGACCGTGAAACGACATGTTGCGAGCTGGCTTGAGCAAACCAATGGTTGTTCGGCTGGCAAAAGCTATTTGGTCAGTAGTGCCAGACTGTTGAGTGAGGTGTGCCAAAAAAGAAGACCACAATTGCCACATCGTATGCCCCTTTGGTCAGTATGTTCTATATTTCCCAGTTGAGGAAACGCACTCATTGGTTCAAGTCGGCTACCGCCTGCTACAGGAAAGCTTACTCCCACTACGTTGTGCTTGCAATTTCTATATTGACCACGTGGAGTTAATCACATGGGCCTAGCGCCGCACGGCGCCCAGTGCCGCACGGCGCCCAGCGCCGCCCGCAATTGCCACATCGTATGTCCCTTTGGTCAGTATGTTCTATATTTCCAAGTTAAGGGAACGCAGTCACCTGCTACAGGAAAGCGGAAAGCTTACTACTACTACTACGTTTTGCTGGCAAAACCTATTTTGAGCGCGTAGAGTTAATCACATGGGCCTAGCGCCGCACGGCGCCCAGCGCCACACGGCGCCCGGCCCAAACAAATGTACGTCAGTAGATGTTCTAATCTCCAAGCGTGGCTTGATCCTTTGTGAACAGGAATTGGCGCCGAGCGGCTCCTAAATAGATTCGAAAGAGTCAAGGGACAGAGACTGGAAACCAGATTGGCTGAGGTTCCCTTTTCTCTTTCTTGGGGGTAAAAAGGGCACTACTCGAGCATGGTGGCAACCACGGCACTCCGATCCAAACTGCCACGAACTCCACCACCCGCAGCGCTTTCGCCCGCCAGTGCGAGCAATGGCGGCAGAGGCGAGGTCGATCCGCTGTCGAATCGGCTCGCGCCACGCCCAAGTCAACGAGGACCTGATACCTGCAATGTAACAAGTTAACTTCATACACTTGAGATCTCAGGATGCAAGACCTCTTTACAAAAAAACTTGGGTCCGCAGGACGCAAGACACCTGTCCCAAAAAAACACTGGAAGAACCACTTGGCCATGATCCACGGTGTCCATCCGAAAAGCTAATCAGATGATCAGCAGCTCAGCGCTCAGGGTCGGCGAGCTGCCGCCAGGAATTGCCTCGCAAACCACGCACAGCCGCACCATCTACAGCCCCCTACAATCGTGCATTAGTGTGGTTGGACTTCGAGACCATTAAGGGAAGATACGTGGGCGACGTGCAAAACCTCTTATGTGTAGTGCGCACTCTTCCCAACGTTATTGCTTTCAGTGAACCTAACAACATGTGCTACTATAACCTTGCCGTTGTTTTGTGAACCTTATCGATCCTGAAGGGTTCCCTCATTTTACTATTATATACTTGTCTTCACTGTAGTGATGATGCCTTCATCGGAGGTTTTGGCAGTTGCTCACGTGGCATCTGAGCACCCATGCGTTGACAACGATGAGTTGATCGCTGCCATTGCTGCGATCCATCGGTATTTGGACATGTTGCGACCACAACCGTTGCGGCAGGAAAATGGTTTCGGCCATTGATTTGGAGGCCACTGCCCGGCATCCACTGACCCCACCAAATGCTGTAGATTTTTGAAGCAAATCCACTGTGATCTCCTATTCCCGTGAAACATTATTAAACCGTCCATCCGGACGGACACTTGTCCTGGAGAAACGCGGAGGGTGCTCCGATCCACTGGGGGAGACCGTGCTTTTTTGGACTCGAGGACCTGCAATAGATTGCATAGAAAGGTGATGTTTAATTCAGCCTAAAGCGGTCTTATAATGAGCCCTGTATAATGAAGTGCAAAGCGAGAAGGTGCTCTCTGTGTTCCCGACATCATGCAACTGAGCATAGCGTGCCATCCGGAGTTCCTGACATTGTGTTTTCAGATGTGTTCAGTTTTGGTGAGGTTAGTCATTGGAATCTTATGGACTCTTGGTGTTCCAAGCAAATGTCGCCAGAATGACTTTGAAACTGACAGCGGCTGCTGCCAAATGCTAAGTTAAGTTTCCCTGAAAATCTAGGAACCAAATCCTCAGTGACAGTGCTATCTTGCGTCCACAGATAGTAGCTTACTTAAGCTACCAGCGACCTCGTTCTCTATCCGCGGCCTAACCCCCCGCGGTCACAGGTTCGGTCGCAGCTTCGCCTCTTCCTTCGTATCTTCCGGGAGGGCCCTTACAAGTGGAATTGGGGGATTCATGCAAATTCGGTCAAATCTGCCACTCCTAAGATGCTGAGCTCTGCGAAAGGGAAAGATTATCATGATTGCGATGAGTGTATAGTGGCCTTGCTACTACTGAGGTCTATAGCTAGATAAAACATGACAAAACTAAGCCCCCTCCATGTGACAATCATCACAAAATCAACTGGCGATTCAGCCTTCCGACATCACAGTTTGATTGGCGGCTCGGGTTGGATGATGAGGCTATAGTGCTTGCCTCACCTTTGGGGTAAGGCCTTCGATAAAACTCAGAAGTCAGCAAAAAGTAGATCAAGAAGCGGTTGGGTGTGGGCGACAGAAAGCCACGTGACTCGTGACAGCAAACAAAAGCAGCACACCGTCAAACCATTTGTGACGGCCCGGAAGTTGAATCATGACTTCATGTGCGTGCCACAACTAGTCTGTCCAAGCTGCATGGATTTGATGTTGTCATCGCAACATTCTTGTCCCAAACCATTAGTAAACTAAAGCAAAATGAATGCACGTGTGCGAATTTGTGCGAATGCTGATTCATTGACACACCAAAGAGTCATTGGTGACATTCCAATCAGCTGCCACAGCAACCTGTGACGAGCAAATTTTGAGCTGCACACTCCTCTTCTTTCTCTGCCTCCTGCGCATTCAAGCTCTGTCACGGTTGATAAATGACATCAGCTGTGTTGTTACGACATAGCATGGTACGAGTAAAACGAGTCTAAAACATCCTCAACGAGGGTCGACGCAAAGCAATACACAATATCAACTATGATTTTGACAAACGAGAGCTTCTATGAGCCTCTAGGATCTGGAATGGGGACTCCTCTCATGCGGCAGCTGACCGAATTTCCAAATAAAATGCGTTCTTCAGATAGCCTCTTCAGCTCGGCGTTCTTCTTCTAAAGCTGCGGCTCGGCGCGCTTCGCTTTCCTGCTCCTATTCTGGGGGGCATACATTTATTTGAAATCATTTGAATGTATAAAGTTGCAAAAGTGTCAAGAATGTGTCAAGATATATATGTCTGGTCTGCAGTCTAATCAGCACTTTTTCTGTCAAGACATTGCTTCCAACAAGCCAGGTTGGCCTTTTGCTGGCTGACCTGCAAGTGTGGCAAAAAATAATGGCTCGCAGAACAAACTGCGCCCGCGCTATTTCAGCTGCTCGCCAATCGCCAATTCCACAAATTTATCTGTGAAATTGGTCCATCCCGCAATCTCCAAAAGAACTCACCACATGGTTCGAGCCTGTGGAAGGTGCCGCCAACAGCGTGGGTTCAACCATGGATTGCCTTCGTCAAGACGCAACTACAAAGATCTCCCGATTCTCCGATTCATCAGATTGGGACGTCACAGGCTGCATTCCTTTGTCGCGTGCGCACCTCCAGATGCCGCAAGCTGCGTGCATTCTGCAACATCTCCTGGCATGGCCAACATGGGCCAACTACACTAGGGACAAGAGGACGCTACTAGGAAAAAAGGGCATCGCTACTAGGAGCAAGGACGCTACTAGTAGCTCCTGGCCTTACTACTAGGAACAAGAAGCTGCTAGTAGTTCTTAAAGGGCCAACATGGGCCAACAGGGATTACTTCAATGTCTTGGCCTGGCCATCATTCAAAGCAATTCAAACAGGGGTTTGTCACTCCGGCACGCACGGCACTTTTCCGTTGAAGTCTGATTGGTGACTGTGTTTGATTTCTGGCCTGCCATGAAAATGGCCAACGCAGCCACTGCCAAAGTCAGAAGAGGTCCAATGCTGAGCGTGGCCAACCTGGAGCGCCTTGAGACGGGCGGCACGACGTTTCAGCTGCGATGCAGGCAATGCACGATGTATTTTAAGCAAAAAATCCTTGACAGTCCGCGGAATATGTCCCTCTATCTCAGCTGTCTAGACAGGTGATAATTTTTATCGCGGTTCCGTTCCCTAGACCAAGCCATTAAACCAATGTGACTGATAAAGCACGCCTCAAATCAAAGTGCGGTATAAAACCAAAAGCTGCTGGAAAGAGCTTACATGAGCTTCTATCTGAGCAGCTCTACTGCTCGTTCAAGTTAGCTCCGTACACCAGTCAGAGCGTGGATACAAGTCTAACTCACAAGAATGACTGCCGTAGGCAAGATTGATTGCACAAAACATTTAAAAACAACTGATGATGTTGCAAAACAGAAGCACATCAACGTGCCGGTCCAATGCAGTTAATATTTTTTTCGGAGGCAGCACTGGAACAAGGGAGAGTGACAGCAACGTCTTGATCCGTGATGCGATCCTTGCTCTTACTAGCGATGCCCTTGTTACTAGTAGATACTAGCAGCTTCTTGTTCCTACTAACGATGCCCTGTGTTCCTAGTAGCTTGTAAAATGATATATATATATATATTGCTTTCAACATTGGTACGCATGGCAGCTGACCAACCAATCCAAACAAGGCAACAGTTACAGCTGTTAAGTTAAACTGTGCACGACGGATCACACGTCACTATGGTTGTACATTGCTCCATAAATGAGCAATGCCTTGCCCGTGATCGAAGCAATCGGATGGTCACAATAGCCGGCGGCTTCTATATCCCTCAATTTGGCGGGGAAATCAAATTAACGGACGAGAATCGAATCACAAGCGTATTCCTGTAGAACAGTAGTAATTACACTCCTTTAAACGATGATCAACGCGGTGCTTGTCTGACTCACTCAAAGATCATAATACCATGTAAGCGGCCTCCGACGGAGCTCCATCTTGTTCACACTGCGCTTCTCCTTGAAAACATTTAACAAATAGATATGATACAACACAAAACATCATCGAGCTGTAATTATCTGCAAAACAATCAACATTAAGCCCTCGGGACATGCGGGAAATTGTTGAATCTCCTTCTACAATCCAAGTATAGTCCGATCCTGAGAACAGTGAGGCCAAGAAGACCGTCCTCCAGCAGGTCAAAAATGTGGCCACAAACGCCTTCGGCTGGGAGGCCGTTGGATGAATGTGGTGGACGCTCCGCTTCTGCGGAACATATTGGAACATATTGGAACATGCCAGAGTGTGAGCTGATGTCTAGCTTTTGCACAATTGAAATCAATTGAAGACTCCCAAGCAGAAATTCAGCAAATCATTGATGTGCTCAGGGATCTCAATATAACTTATGATCTCCCATGTAAGCAGTAAGGTGTTGAAACCAAACTCTTTGGAGAACTTCCAATATCAGCTCTCAGCCATTCTGGTTTTCCTGAAACCTAGCACTCCACGCAACCCACATCACTCCGCCTCTCTTGGTGAGCTCTGCGAGCTCCGGGGTCAACATCTCCAGGCCTCGGATCTTCCGAAGAAACCGAGGATGGCCTCCAACCTAGTAGCGTCCTTGCTCCTAGTAGTAAGGCCAGGAGCCCCTAGTAGCGTCCTTGCTCCTAGTAGCGATGCCCTTAGCTTCTTGCTTTTAGTGGCGATGGCCTCCAACCTACTAGAGATGACCTCCATCCTCGGATCTTCCGTCGACGCGACGCCGAAGAAGCCACAACACTCAGTCGATTCCGAGGCCGTCACTGTCATCCAGCGCTCCCAAGACCTCCTCCTGACTTTCGAACATCTATCTTGAACAGGTTTCGATGACTCGATCTGACTCTCGATCTGTTTTTCATGGTCTGAGTTCCTCTTAGTTTCTCTGCCAGCCAGCAATTCAGCTGAGGTCCTTGTGAAACGCCTCCTTTGTATGAACAAATATATCATCTTATATAAACATTTTACTGTACATATAATATGCTGCAAGAGTCTTAGCCAAACCACAGCAAAGCGGCGCCTTAGCCAAATCCAGCTTCGCTTCTAGATCGCGACTCGCCAACGGCAAGCAAATTGCCTTAAACCAAAGAAACATGTGCAGGAATTGTGATCAGCGGCAGCGGCAAACAGTTAAACTGTGAGGTCACTGCTCCAAACATCCTTTCCGCTTTGGTTCGCTCTT